TGGTTTTGCACTCTCTCAACGGTCTTGTTTTTAGATACAGAGACCGAGACTACCAGGGACCAACTTGGAACCACAACAGGCAACAAGCTGATTGAGGAGCAAGTTTATCGTGTCCCTTTCATTAGGCCTTTACTAATATGCATATATAGTGCGCCATCTTATAGGGGAGCTAAGAGCGCAACCAAAAAAAAAAAAGACTGCAGATGTAAGTAGTTCGTTTATCTTTTCTTTTTGTTGTTGCTGTCCAGTAAGTGTAGATAGTTTCCAGTGTTCTGTGTTTTGGCATAAGAGAATGGCCAAGTTTCTAAGCTTGTATCTCAAAGGGAGATCACCTATGCTGTGTTATGTTGTATAAAGTAATAGTAACTAAACATATGCTGTATTAACAAATGACTTTATAAATTTTGTTTCATCAGCATATCCAGAATTTTAAGTCGATAGGTGAAAAGTATCATTCCACCCTTGGGACGGAGCTAGATAGGCTTGAGGAGGTTCATCCGAACTTCACTTATTTATATTTTAAACTCTTTTGGTGAAAATTTTGACTCCGTTCCACTACTCCTTTAGTAGGAGCTAGGTTGACTTGAGGTCAGATAATCTAGTTGCCAAAGTAGTGTTCAGTAGCAGGGAACATTCCCACTATAACCAAGGCTTTGTGACTTTCAATAATTGGTGGGGAAGGGGAAAATAGCTTCAGCCACTCGATCAAAACACAGTTCTAAAATGAATGATATTTTTCTTTATTAATAGTAAATTATTATTTTCTTCGTCTCAAAATATCTATTGTTTTTTCACTTTACATGCTCCTTGAGAAATATAATTAGAAGGAATTTTTGAGTACATTAATCTTATTTATATATGCAAGTTATAAAATATCTCCATTGAGTATTTATTTAATTTATATGTAATCGCCAAGGTCACCTTGTCAACATATCAATAGAAATGGGTAAAAAGTGTAAGTAAACAGCTTGGAATAAACTATATTAACAACTTCAAGAAGTGACAACACTCCATAATCAAAGACTTTGTAGTCTTAAACCAAAATTATACTAATGATAAAATGAAAAAAGAAAGAAGTTTATCTTATCTTGAACTTCTATAACAACAAATAATTTGAGATGACTATTTTTCAAAAGAAAACGACATATAATTTGAGACCAAGGGTATAACATAAATTGAAATGGAAAAAGTACTATGATCTTAAAAAACTGAGCTAAACTTCCACCTTTCAGTGATTTGCAAAATATCAGTTTAGTACTACCAATTACGTCAAATTTCAACCAGCAACGAAGCCTTTCAGTAGGCATAAAGAAGTAACGGCAACAAAATGCATCAGTTAATAATTGTCTGAAAAACACAGTTTCATACTAATGGCTAATTGAGATGGTTCAGAACATCATAAAGTACTCAAATTGAAAAAACATGTCTGATCTCACAACATAAAATACTTAAAATTGAAAAACATGTCAAAATAAGTAGACACATAATAAGCTGCACCGCCAGAAGGGGACAATTGCTCTAACTCTCAGTCTGTTCCCTCAGTCTTCGGATTGTACTCCTAACTGTAACAGCACTCGCGGTGCTATTGAAAAGGAAATAGAGATTAGTTATTGACACACAAAAAGGGAAAACAATAGAAGTTGAGAGAGTAATTACTTCAATGTGTAAGCACCACCGGCTTTGACTTTGCCGCAATCTTTGCAACCCCAAATTCCCACTGCTTTCCTCTTTACTGCATACTGCATAACAAGTATATATATATATGGTGAGAATCCTAAACTTAAGAACTCTTTATAATACAACAGTAATCCAAATGCAGCCAAGAAAACTATTATACTGCACAGAGCCAGGCCCATACCTTTCCACAAAACTCACAGAAGTACTTGCTGTGCTGGCTTACCTCCATCTTCTTAATCTGCTTACGCAGACTGGCACCATAACGGGTACCTAAGCGTAGAAGGCAAGCGAATCAGAAACATAAATGTAAAGACAAGAAAACAGAAGCTTTTCAATAGTTCATTTATGCAACTGCAACAGATGAAAAGGGCCATTTAAAGAACTGATTCCAGCTCATGGGCATACTGTTATCAACAAAATTTAAGTTGTCAGGTTGCAAAACCATATACATCTAGCCTGACCCACAATCCCACATAACCATTCACTTCAGACATCTAATCCAGGCATAAAATAGAATATGCTTGATTAACAGTAACAATCAGCAGCTCAAACTTACGGGAAACAAACATTTGCTCACTATCAATACCATCTATTTTAGTGTTAATGACACGGCCTAAACAGAAACATCTAAGCAAAACTTCAAAAGGATAAGCAAAGCTAGGAGATATAACTTCTAAGTTTAGATTTGATGCCCATATGCAACACTCATCTCATCATCATATTTCTCTATATACTATTACAAGCCTCAAAACTGCAGAATTCACAAAGTCTATTTACTCCATCATCTCCTACTATTATTATTATCATTTTTTCTTAAGCTTGAAGAATTTTTTAAAGATATTCTATAATAATTTATCTGTGCTCCATACTAGCAGTTCAAACTAAGAAAATTACATGCTAATAGGAACCTACAGTTTGCAGACAATTTCTCCTAACAAGATATCATAAGTGTATTGGATTTGAAGGACTCCAATATGCCTTGCTAATGTAGCAAAAAACAATTTTAAGGAATGGTAGAATGAATCAAACTCCTAACCAAGCAGATCAGATAGAGAAATTAAACCACTTGATCAAATTTAGTTGTTAAATTACTAGAAAACACCTTGAGGCTAACAATAATACCAAAACATATAGAGAAATTAAACCACTAAATTAGTAGAAAGCGCCTTGAGGCTAACAATAATACCAAAACATATCCTCATCACCGCAAAACGCAAGGTTCTAAAATGAGCTGTAATACTTACCATACTTTCCAACGATTCCAGCCTTCTTGGTCCTCTTAGTCTGCAGCAAAAATAGCACATTTCACATTAAAACTAGCTGCAACTTTTACTCAAGTTCAATGTGCTAATGCTATCTACACCATCCCATCTCCCTATTATAGAGTAGACTAAACAACTCTACCTATTCACAACCTCCACACAAATTGTATTTGCATTTGTCATTATCTCAATATATTCTACTGAGAGTTTCTATTAAATGAACAATTGAAACATATACTAGAATTTGCTTTTCCGGGTTTACAAATATTACAACCAAATTACCAATAAATCATACACTATACCCATTTCCCAAAAAAATGAAATCTTTGGCATTCTCCAATAACATTCAATAAACCTCATGAATAGCTCTAACAGACTATAACCCAAAAAACAATTCCACACAACAATTCGACCCTTTTCATCATTAACCAAAAAACGCAAAAACTAAACGGAAACAACTTCATTGAACAAATAAAAACAGTTTTTTTGACACTTTGAACAAATTATTACTCAGATTTAACAAGTTAAGCGTAATGCTTAGAGGAAAAAAGTGTACCATTTTTTTGCTGTTGATGGAGGATTTGGAGCGGCTGCTTCTGAAGGGTGATAAGAGCAAAAGAAAAACTAGGGTTTTTTTTTTGTAGCGTCAAAAGAAGTATAATTAGTTGCCTTTTGGACAAGATTCGGCCCATTATTTGTTATGTTCGGGTTGACCCGAATCTGTAAACCAACATGGGCCTGTTGAACTTTGTATGAAAAACCCTAATTTTAACCAAGGGCGGACAATTCTGTAAATTGCATCACTTCCGCTTAAACTAAAAATAATTCGCGGATGTATAATATATGTAAATCATGTATAATGTATGTATAATTGGGTGTAATTTATATGTACGGTTCAAACAAAAGTAAACAGTGAATAGTGAAAAAATCGCTTGAAATTTTACATTTTGAGTGAAGGAAGTAATTTGGCAGGTGTTTGACAGTAGATTTCGAATATTTTTCACTTTATTTGGAATTTATGAAATTGTGTTTGATAATAATTTTTGTGAAAAATATTTAAAATAATTTACATGTTTGATTGAACTTTTTCTAAAAAAAAAACAAACACGAAATGTGATTTATATCCTATAATTTCTAAAAATTAGCAAGTCATCTTACTTGACTAATTCACAAACAAACTCATACTCACTCACATAATGGCATAAATTGGATCTCATATTTGAGCTACTATACGCTATACACTTTGTCAAATTTTAAATACTATTAGAAAGATCCATTGGTACAAAAAATCAACTCTTGTAACTAGTTGTTCGTTAAGATTTTCCACCCACATTTTGTGTACAGTCTCTTCTCGTCGAGCATGCATTTTCGATATGATCGTAGAGTTGCCAATTTCTTTTCTAATAATTTCATCTGAATTTTTGCTTATAAGTTTTCGTAAGTAGCTAGCTACTTAAACTGTTAAATATAATCTGTTTTACGAACTAGAAAGGTTTTATGCCAAATTTTACAAACTTCATTCCCAAGTCAATTTATTTATCAATCTTCATATATTATATATATAT